ATGCTATCAGACAAGCTGAGAAAGAAGGAGAAGTTCATCTCCAATATTGTCCAGGTGAATCTCAAATTGCAGATATGTTCACTAAAGCATTGCCCAAATCCAGGTTTGAAAACTTAAGATTGAAGATTGGAGTTTTACCCAAAAGCTTCAAGGAGGAGAATGTTGATTATTGAAGACTTTTGGTTTTCTCCACATGATGAAATATGAAGAGTGTTAGAGAGGAAGATGAAGAGTGTTGGAGAGGAAGATGAAGAGATGGATGCATTCACCATCATTATTAGTCATTATTATTCTTCGTAATTGTGTGACTTTTAGTAGTCTTATGCTATCCTATAAATAGGTTTGTCATGTACTCAAATCAAATAATTCATATATATAAAAAAAAAAAGGTTCTCTCAAAATATACTTTGTTCTGTTCTTATTACTGAACTGATCCGGTCTTGATAGAATCTATCCTTATTTCCGTTGCGTACTAAAATCACAATCAGAACAAACAATATCTTCTGCTCGGTTTAATTGATCTCATGAAAAGGCTACATTTATGGGGATTGATTTTCTTTCCTAATATTCTCCATAACTAATTATTAATTTGTCTATTTATGGATCATGGCTTGGGATTATTTTCTGTTCTGGGAAACCGTGTATCTAACTTTGTTCATGTTCTTGATCAAGTGAAATCACCAAATTTATTTTGTGTTTTCTTCTCTGTCCTCTACTGCATGACACTTCTTTAGATTTCAACTTCTTCCACTTAAGGACAATAATAGCAACAACCTATTCCACAAGAAAGTCAGACTAAGTTACAATATCCGCCCTCTTGTTTGTTTTTGGTAGGGTCAAACTAGATTACAACCGTAATCCATTTACATCTGGTAAAATCTAACAAATTTTAACATCTAGAATCAGATTTAGCAGGCGTTCAAATTTTCTAAAAAAAGATCAAGACAGAGTCTAATATCATGCTCATTACTCTTCATATGGGATGTTCTTGTTACAGCTTTCAATCCACAACATTTGCCACTTGATTAGGTAGATTTGACAATAATAATCACCTGAAAAGCTTTACAAGGAAACTACTTAAAATTCATCTTGGATATCTTGTCTGTTAGTTCGTATATCCAATCCTTTTACTAGTCTTATGCTTGTGATTCAATGATTTTGGCATGCCCAAATTTTGGCTGTCCAGATTTGAGTTTGCTTTTGTTTGAACTATAACTGTTATGGTTTTTGACTTTTGTGTGTCTCTTCATGCAATTCACTCTGTACCTTTTATTTCACTGTATGGAAGCATGTATCTCTTGTAGCTTTAATTTCAACTGTGGACCATATTTTGTACTTACGGCCTCCATATTTGATATCTGTTTTTAGTTTCTAAGATTTTGATTCTATGAACGTTTGGAACTTCTTGACAAATAAGTCTTGTACAAGACTTAACAAACTTGTAAAATACAAGATTTACCTTGTTTAGTAGAAGTCTTATGTTACCAACTGCCTCGCACAATTTCTTTCTCTGAAGATTGCTTGAGACAGATATATGTTCATATATCTCCATTTATTGATTTTGCTTCATGAGCTTCCCATAAACATGGTTCGAAAGGACTGCTCTTTTGTTGCTCTCAATCTGTGACCATATGAGCTACTGATTTCCGTCTTTGCATTTTAGGAAATGGCACTTACAGTGAAATTATCCTAGACTTCTGTATAACATTCCTTGGATACTATTTTCTTGCATGCTGAGTATGTCTTTTTTGTCTTGATTCTTAACCAGTGTCACGGCCAGCAATGACTATTATACTCCCTTCCTCTCCATTCCAAACAGGACCTTGTAATTTGACTTTTCACATAGACTAAGAAAGCATATAAAAACTATGCCATCATCTACACATTCCATATCGTGTTTTGTGATCTACCCCTCTTAAGAGGAGATAATTATTGTGACAACTTTTTCCTATTGATGAAGTAAAACATCTATCTACTTTGTTAATGGGGTCAAATAGGAATGTAGAATTTACGTATCTGATACAAGAACACTTTAGGACAGAGAAAAAATGCAGAAGATCTTCTTATGACAGAATAGTTCAATTTACTTCTTATCCCTGATAAAGTTTTGAGGACTTTATGTGGCACTGTCCATATCTAATGAAAGAGGATTTGATAAGTTGTAAAGATACAGAGCTAGATTGTTCAAAAGTGGGTGTTTTGTATGAACTTGACTTCTATATTTCTCATAGTTTCTGAGGGAAGTTCGTTTGGTAGGGAAGATTTGATATATTACTTCAAGCTTCTGCATTTAATTTTGCAACATGTTACAAGGGAATGAATTGCTCATTGAGAAATCTCGTTTACTTTGCCGTGTTTTGATCTAAAATTACCATATTTTTGCAGCAAAAAATCTTGGGGAATTTCTTGTTTCGCAAATGTTTCATGACATTCTGCAATAAATTTAAGCTCCTGTTTGGCCCCCATTTTGAGGAAATGAAAATGGGTGGAATAGTATTTTTTTGAAAAATGAGTGGTTGAAAAAGAAAAAAAAAATTTCAGTTTACGTGTAATATTATTTTATGGAAGATTGTTTGGTTGAAAATAGGAGAGAGAAAAATAAAATATAATAGAATTGAAATTAATGAGGGCCAAACGGGGGCTAAGTTTTGTTGCTATTTTTTCCATATTTGATCTATATTCGAAAATAGTTTTTTTAAGACAAAATCAAAGATAGGGGCTAGAACTTGCAAAACTTCCATTCTAAATATAAAATCCTAAACATCTTGATGTTTGATCTCCCTAAGCCATTTCTGATCTCCTTATGCATTTTACCGGTTGAAGTTAGCTTGGACAATTTACAGTTTGTCAGATAATACTGACCAACTGCCAGACAAACCGAAACAGGAGGATGAGGAGGGATAAAATAAAATGGCAAGAAAACATTGATGATTTTGATGACTAATTCTAACAAAATATGTATGACATTCATCCAAAAAATCCATAAAGTACATTAATAGTGCATTGAAACTGGCATTTATTTTTATTTTTATTTTTATTTTTATTTTTTTGGTATTCTGCTACATGCAAAGTTGACGAATAGTGATATTTTGATTGATGTATACCAAATATTATTAAAGAAGGTTATTGTGTTAGGGTTTATCTGTTCCTGCTGAAAGGAAATTTACGATGAAAGAAAAAAGAAAAGTTTGTAAATCATTCATTTTGCTCATATAAGAGGTAACATTGATTCATTAGAACCCCATACTCTCCCCTGCCTTTTGCAGAACCATCGCAATGGACCTGGGATGATGAGGTTGCACCGATATTATAACATCACCCCCTGAAGTTAATTGTGCCATGAAAAGAAATTGAATCCTGAATCTTCATTTAAACAATCTTTTGAGTACGTATATTCTTTTGCTTGTATTTTTGCATACACGTGTTCTTGATCCTGTTTCCTTGTTCTTGCAGCACCACTCACAAGCACCCAAAATTGGCAACGGGGGAACTGAAGAAAGTGTTCCAAATACTGCTCATTTTGATAGTATCGAACGGTCTCCACTGCACCCACAGTCCCAGGCAAGGGTCGGACGAAAAGGCAGTGCAGTTTCTTCTCCCTCCTTGAATAGAAAGGGTACATTTGAAAGTAGCCATGGCATTGAATCCTCCACTCCTGGAAGATCTCGTTTGAGATCAGTTACACGAGGAGATGAAACTGTAATGTCTTTTTCTCTAATCTCTCATCATACACATTATGCAATGGGTACAAAAAAGAGCTGATAAAAGTTTCAGGTCTCTAGTCATTTTTTTCTTGCCAACCAAATATTGGTGATGGCAAATTCTAGTATACGGAGAGGAGGAAATCTTGGCAACTAAGAGAATGTTTTCCCATGCTTAAAAACTTTATTACAAGTAAATAAACAAGCTTTAATCAAAGTTCAAAATAAGTTACTTATTTTTTACACTCATTCGGATGCTATAGCCGGATGACACCCCTACTGTTCCCAAATTCGGCGATTGGGATGACACTGATCCTGCATCAGCGGAAGCATTTAGTGGCATATTTGCCAGAGTAAGAGAAGAGAAACAGAGTGGAGGAAGGGTACCTGTCATGCCAACTGAAACATCTTACTCCAATGATCAAAGACGATGTGGAAATGAAAATCTAAAGGTATATAAATTTGTTTTCAGCTACTATACACTCATCATAATGGACGACAATTATAGCATTGTTTAACATGTTTGTCTAAGCTTAAAAACAGTTAACAAGTAGCTTATTGTCTCCAAACATTTGTGGATAAGTTGCTCTTCTAAAACAAACTTATTTAATTATACGATAATTTTTTTTAAACTCAGCCAAAACACGGTCTATCTACTCAGATTTTGTTGTTAACTTCCAATATTTTCCTCTTTTTGGTTATTTCCCTAGGGATGTTGGTGCTTTCCATGGGGAAAAAGATGATCCTTGACTTTGTATGTGGATGAATGGCAAGCAAGAACGGCATGTAGATACGTTCTCTGAGGCTCAGTTTTGTATACTTTGTCATCTTAGAAAAAATGCTGGTCATATTTGCGTCTTTTATTGCTGCTGGAGGGAATATATATATATATATATATATATATGATGGATTTATTTGATTCAAATTCATATTACTTTGGTCTATTACAAGCATTTTCTATTATACCTTAATGTGATGATAT